TGGAGTTCTCTCTAGAACTGGCAGAGGCTGCGCATGTGTGGGACCTGGTTGTCATGGATAGCTTCAATGACCCAGTGTAACAGGGCACCTTCTTGGGGCTGATTTACCTTTGGCCCGCCCACCTGTTTCTGGGCCAACTGCCTACCTTCTCTCCTGCCACACCTTTTTAATTAATTGAAGATCATAATTAGGCAGGAGGCTGCCCATTTCTTGCCCCAATGCCAGGGGGCGCTGTCTGTGGCTCCGTACCTCCCCTACACCGCAGTCCATGCCTGGCAGATGGTATCCAGCTGTTACTCTCACCAGCCCCACACTGGGCCCCAGAATCCTCCTATCATGACCCCTCCAATATCCCTCCACTCAGATGGCCTACCCCACCTTCATTCAGGCTACCTAGCTCCCTGAAATTATTTTCCCCTCTCGGGTGTGGTCCCCCCAGCAGCTTTGGCCATACAGGCCCTGGCCTCACCTCCAAGGCCAGTTGGAAACTCCAGGCCCTTCTAGCTCTGGGAGTCTCTCGCGGTGGGTCCCTGGCCCTTTTGACTGTCCTGGTCCTGGCCTCAGCATCAACCAGTAGTGGGTACTCTCTCGATCAGGTCTGAGTCTCTAGCCCCACTCTCTCCCCTGGGGTCTGCCCTCCAGGCCCTAGTAGCAGGTAACCCACCTGGTTGTGGGGGCTGGGGTTAAGGTGCCCTGACCTGCCTTTCACCAGGGTGCTAACTGGCCTGGCATTTCCTGGGGGCTCCTGTGCCACTGAGCGCCCCACCAGGCCACCCACTTCTGGCAGGGTGCAGTTTTAGGTCATGCCCAGGACTAGAAGCCTCCTAGTCATCCCCTATAGCTCCTTGCTTACTTCCAGGATGATACATGAAGCCTCACAACCAGGCAGTGTTACTGCCTGCCCTGTCATCAGGGAACTGAACTGTTTATATAGGCAGCCAGGGATCTAAAATGGCTGCCACAATCAAGCACCTGCTGGCTGTTTGGCTCTGATCTTTAAGTGGCAGGCACAAACAGTGCCCTGCCACACCCAGACAGCTGAGTGTTCCTCCCAAGAGATAAGTTGGAAGGGCTGCGTTGCTTCCTGACCTGTATTGAAGAGCTCTACCTGACTCAGGAAGTACACGGGCCAACCAGAGGTAATGCTCTCCTAGACTTGGTCTTGGCCAAAGGAGATGACCTGGTGAGTGACTTTGAATATAGAAGGTAGCCTGGGTGACAGGGACCACAAAACCATCATGTTAACTGTCCATCGCAAGGCAGGCAAATCACCTAGCAGGGTTGAAGTTTTGGACTTCAAAAAAAAATGAATTTCAACAGGTTCAGGGCAACAGTAGGGGAAGCATTGTGGGACCAGGAACCAAAGGTGAAAGGAGTGCATGAAGAGTGATCATTCCTCAAGGACATGGTCCTTGAAGCACAAAAGAAGTCCATTCCCATGCAGAGGAAAGGTAGCAGAAGTGCTTGTAAGCTCTTTTGGCTTAATAGGGATATCATGGTCCTCTTGAAAAAGAAGAAAGAGGCATAAAAACAATGGAAGCTTGGGACAGTCCCCAAGGAGGACTATACAACAACAGCCCAGACTTGTAGGGAACAGATTAGAAAGGCTAAGGTGGCGACTGAATTTAAACTAGCAACAGAAATCAAGAACAATAAGTCCTTCTTTAGGTACGTAGGGCACAGGAGGAAAACAAATGGAAGTGTGGGGCCATTGCTTAACAACTCAAGACAGCTGGTTACCAACACTCAGGAGAAAACTGAAATCCTGAATGACTACTTTGCTTTGGTATTTCACTGGACTAAGGGGAAAATCATACTAGATAAATTTCGGAATGGACATGGTAGGAATGACCGCCTTCCTACTGTTGACGTTGAGCTGGTGCATGATCAGTTTGAAAAGTTAGATATTTATAAGTCAGCAGGACTGGATGAACTTCATCCAAGAGTGCTGAAGGAGCTGGCTGAAGTCATCGTGGGACCTCTAGTGAAACTCTTCCAAAACTTGTGGTGCTTGGGGGAGGTCCCTGAAGACTGGAAAGGGCCAATGTTTTTCCATCTTCAAGAAGGGGAGGAGAGAGGACCCGGGCAACGATAGGCCAATTAGCCTAACTTCTATCCCAGGGAAAATACTGGAAAAATTCATCAAGGAGTCTATGTGTAATATACTTGCAGAAGGTAAGATTCTGAATGATAGCCAGCATGGCTTCGTTGTGGGGCTGGTCTTGTCTTACCAATCTCATCTCCTACAACCAGGTAACTTGCCACTTGGACCTGGTTAAGAGAGAGAAGGTCGACATTGTATACTTAGACTTCCAAAAGGCCTTTGATCTCATATCCCATTATGTTCTCATGGGGAAAATTGAAGGATTGCAGGCTTAGCTGCCTGACAGTTAGATGGGTAGGAAGCTGGCTGCGGGGTAGGACTCAGAGTGTTCTAATGAATGGATCTGTGTTGTCCTGGTGAGAAGTGGCCAGGGGTGTCCCTCAGGGGTCTGTGCTTGGTGTAGTGCTTTTCAACATCTTTATCAATGATTTGACTGTGGAGGTGAAGAGCTCCCTGGCCAAGTTCACTGATGACACCAAGTTGTGGGGACGCATGGTCACACCTGAAAGTAGGCTGCAGATACATGCGGACCTAGACAGGCTGGCAAGTTGGGTGGATCGGAACCAGATGAAGTTCAACATTGAGAATTGCAAAGTGCTTGATCTGGGGACAAACAGTCCCCAACAGATTTACAGGTTTGGTGGTGCCAAACTGACTAGCACCAAGAATGAAAGAGACCTAGGGGTGATAATAGACCATAGTATGAACGTGAGGTGTCAGTGCGATGCTGTAGCCAGCAGGGCAAACAATACTCTGGCATGCATCAACTGATGCATCTCAAGCAAAACCAAGGAAATGATTGTTCCACTTTATTCAGCATTGGTGAGACTGCAGCTGGAGTATTGCAACCAGTTTTGGGCGCCACACTTCAACAAGGACGTAGAAAAACTTGAGAGAGTCCAGAGAAGAGCCACCCGTATGATCAGAGACTTGCAAGGCAAGCCATAGGAAGAAAGACTGAGGGATTTGGGTCTCTTCAGCCTAAAAAAGAATAGTCTGAGAGGGGATTTGGTAGCAGCTTCCTGCTATATCAGGGGAATACATCAAGGGCTCGGTGAACAGCTGTTCACTGGGGCACCCTTGGAGAAAACCAGGCATAATGGCCACAAACTCCTGGAAGACCATTTCAGGCTTAACGCTAGGAAAAACTTCTTCACAGTTAGAGTGTTCTGACTGTGGAATATACTCCCTCCAGAGGTAATGCAATCATGTACCACGGAAATCTTCAAGAGGAGACTGGACGGTCAGCTTGCTGGGGTCACTTGACCCCAGTTGTCTTTCCTGCCTAGTGCAGGGGGCCTGGACCTGGTGATCTTGCGAGGTCCCTTCCAGCCCTTTATAATCTATGAATCTGAGCTAACTCATGGTCCCAAGCATCCTAGGATGTTTTGCACCTCCCTCACAAGCCCCACCTTGCAGGGTGGGTGGGCTAGCCTTGGTCTGCTCCAGCAGAGCAGGGAGGTGTGCTTTAGCAGCTTCTGGTCTGCTGTGGAGGTGAAGAGCTCCCTGGCCAAGTTCACTGATGACACCAAGTTGTGGGGACGCATGGTCACACCTGAAAGTAGGCTGCAGATACATGCGGACCTAGACAGGCTGGCAAGTTGGGTGGATCGGAACCAGATGAAGTTCAACATTGAGAATTGCAAAGTGCTTGATCTGGGGACAAACAGTCCCCAACAGATTTACAGGTTTGGTGGTGCCAAACTGACTAGCACCAAGAATGAAAGAGACCTAGGGGTGATAATAGACCATAGTATGAACGTGAGGTGTCAGTGCGATGCTGTAGCCAGCAGGGCAAACAATACTCTGGCATGCATCAACTGATGCATCTCAAGCAAAACCAAGGAAATGATTGTTCCACTTTATTCAGCATTGGTGAGACTGCAGCTGGAGTATTGCAACCAGTTTTGGGCGCCACACTTCAACAAGGACGTAGAAAAACTTGAGAGAGTCCAGAGAAGAGCCACCCGTATGATCAGAGACTTGCAAGGCAAGCCATAGGAAGAAAGACTGAGGGATTTGGGTCTCTTCAGCCTAAAAAAGAATAGTCTGAGAGGGGATTTGGTAGCAGCTTCCTGCTATATCAGGGGAATACATCAAGGGCTCGGTGAACAGCTGTTCACTGGGGCACCCTTGGAGAAAACCAGGCATAATGGCCACAAACTCCTGGAAGACCATTTCAGGCTTAACGCTAGGAAAAACTTCTTCACAGTTAGAGTGTTCTGACTGTGGAATATACTCCCTCCAGAGGTAATGCAATCATGTACCACGGAAATCTTCAAGAGGAGACTGGACGGTCAGCTTGCTGGGGTCACTTGACCCCAGTTGTCTTTCCTGCCTAGTGCAGGGGGCCTGGACCTGGTGATCTTGCGAGGTCCCTTCCAGCCCTTTATAATCTATGAATCTGAGCTAACTCATGGTCCCAAGCATCCTAGGATGTTTTGCACCTCCCTCACAAGCCCCACCTTGCAGGGTGGGTGGGCTAGCCTTGGTCTGCTCCAGCAGAGCAGGGAGGTGTGCTTTAGCAGCTTCTGGTCTGGGCCACTGCAGTTATGTGGCTGCATTTCTGGAATCAAAAGTGAATGCCTGTTCACTTGCTTATCAGTTCAATCTACACAGCTTAGACTAACCTACAAAAATTGAATTGATTCTGCCTCAGGCTTTTTGACTGTCTGCACTTAGCCTAAGAGACATTGTAAGAGGTAAACTGTTCTGGTTTAGCTTCCTGTCGGTGGAGGAGAACAGTAGGCATACAGACACTTCAGTGGATCTGCTGTTGTGCAGTAAGCCCTTCCCCTGCTTTTAACCTGGTGCAACTATTCCACCTACCCATTCACTAAATTCGAGTTGTACTTCAGAAAGCTTGATTTTTCTGTCATTGCCATTCTCTTTGCAGCTGTGTAACACTGTCGACTTTGGAGATAGTGCCTACCCCAAAGACCATTCGTGTGTAAGTAATTGCTCCAAGTAAAATAGAGGAGGAGGAAACTCTTGCCTTGTAGCCCAATAATCTAGTAGTTAGGGCACTTAACCAAGCAAACAGGAGACCTGGCCCTCTCCTTCAGCCTAGTTTGAAGCTGTCTCTTTTGCAAAACCAGGCTACAGGTTAGCAGGGTGGATTGTTTTAAATCAAGTCCATTTAAACCACTGATTTAAATCTGCAAACCAAAATCCTGATTTAACGAATTGATTTTTATCAAATTGTCCATAGTGTGTGTGTGTGTGTGCGTGTGTGTGTAGAAAGGTGTATTTTCAATGGTTGATATAACAAAACATGTTGATTTACAACTAAGTTTTTACAGTACATTAGGGGTGTGTGCATCTATATCTATAACAAAACTATCACATTTTTATATATAAAATCTATGAATCTATATATCTATATCTATAATATAGATCTATGAATCTATATCTATCTGTATTATATCTATAATATAAAATAATAATATAGAATATATAATATAGATATAGATTCATAGATTGTAGAGTCGGAAGGGACCACAATGGATCATCGTGTCCGACCCCCTGCACCTGGCAGGAAAGAGGACCGAGGTCAGATGACCCCAGCCAGGTGACTATCTAGCCTCCTCTTGAAGACCTCCAAGCTAGGTGATAGCACCACCTCTCTTAGAAGCTCATTCCAGATCCTAGCCACCCTTACTGTGAAAAATTTCTTCCTAATATCTAACCTAAATCCACTTTCAACTAGTTTACACCCATTATTCCTAGTCATTCCCTGGGGCGTCCTAGTAAACAGCACGTCCCCTATTCCCTGTTGACCTCCCCTAATAAATTTATAGGTGGCCACAAGATCTCCCCTCAGCCGTCTCTTGTGAAGGCTGAAGAGATTCAGCTCTCTCAACCTCCCCCCGTAGGGTCTATCACGACGGCCACTAATCATGCGAGTGGCCCTCCGCTGGACCCTCTCCAGATTCTTCGCGTCTCTCTTGAAGCGCGGCACCCAAAGTTGGAACC